GAGAATAATCTTAAGCTTAAAAGATCCTATGAGGATTATGGGTAAGCTCAATATGCCACTCACACAGCTATGATGGACGTTCATGCAAGGTGGACTATATGGTAGTGAAGACCTTATTCCCTACCTACCTATATAGGGTGGGACCACTCATTAATTCGTGGGTGAGGCTAATGTGCCATCCATGAGAGCAATTTAGGAACCCACGATAGGATGGGTTTGTATCACAATTCACTGAGATAGGGTAGACCCACTCATAGTTAAAGGTTTCAAGATGAATAAGGTTAATGAGTTTAAGCTATGATTATATGAATATGAAAATGATGTGTTTTACATTGAATGTGTATGTTATGATGTAACGTCTAATGATAATGTTATTCACACTAGATTGTGGTGATTTTTGGCTTGATTAGATATAGCTTTAGCCTAGGGAATGATCCTTTAAGTTAGAAGGACATATAGAATGGTAAAGTGTAGGATTTTACCCCGAAAACAACTTTTCAAAGACTATCTATTGATACTTGAGGAACATCTAGCAATAGATAGTAGTTAGAATGCTACAGGAAGCATTTTGTGCTCCATTTATTGATAGATACCCTTATCTATTAATAAATGGAAGACAATATTGAATGTTTATTAATGTTTAAAGGCTTTTCAAAAGTAGAAAGGTTTCTAGAGGTTATACAAGCTTGTTTTTTCATGCAATGCTATTTAAAAAGGTACTTAAATACCATGCTTCATGAACTATATGGATTTAATGAAAAGGTTTATGAATTGCATTAAAGTATAGGTGCATGTTTTCGAAACACTCAACCCCCTTGGCTTGTCCCCGTTTCATATCCACTCCTAAAGTCTTTAAGACTCACATATTATTTTTCCTATTTATTTTTGTTGCAAATCAGTGATATCACTATACTACTAACAGCTAGTATCACGGTGATGTGATCCATTCATCATTCATTGGTAGGTGTTTAATAGCTCCTTGATGCCTAGAGAGTTAGGTCATGTTCCGTTGACAAGTCAGTCTTATTTATGTTTATGTTTATGGATAATGAATATGTTTATGATGTTCCAACCAATGGTTGGCATTTTACGTATGAATGTTATGTTATATGTGCAAAGGATGACTCAAGAGCCTACATGGACACCCAAAGGTGTTGATAAATGTTTATATGATATTGTGCTTGGGATTATGGCACTCTAATGACATATAATATGTTTCCACTTACATTATTTATGTTCAAAAGTTCCATATTTGTGTAATGCCGCCTATGGTTGCATACAAGTGATTACAATATATGCGTACGGATGATTGAATATATGCTTTCGCACATGATTATGAAAGTTTAATGAATGAATGGAATGAGGCTTGCTTAGGCTTAGCAAGCTATACCAATCTGGGTCCATGTGCCAATCATATCCCACCATGAAATGGGTTATGATATTTTCCAACGTCAAACATACTATCAATTCACAGACAAACTCAGAATTTTGAGATATTAAAACATTCAAAGTGCTTGTTCCCATGCACAAAACTAAATACATAATAGGCATATTTACATATCACATACATAAATTTCATCAAACTCATTTAAACTTGTCAAGCAACATCAAAATCCTTTCACATAATCCATGCTTCATCAAAATCAGATTTTTATATGAAATCGTGGACAAGGCATGCTTGATTATAAAAATAATTAAAAACACCATATCTACTCACCTAATTGAAGCATTCATTTTCCTTTAACACTTTTGACAACAAACTCGACCAACCCAAGCTACTAACTCCTCCAATAGAACTTATTGATGTGTAATCCATTATCAATACCTCCTTTATACATAACTTTCACAAACACCCATTTATCCTTTCACAAATTTCTTCAATCAGTCTCTAATCTAAAATTAGTTACTAAATCTTAGTCTAGCTATGAATTTACAACTCCACTAACTAGAATGGTTAGTAACCTTACCTTCCTAAGCTTGGGAGAACGCAAACTATCAACAACCTATGATTTTAAAGAGAGAAAATGAATTTTAGAAAGTTAATAAATCCAAAAATTAAAACTAGATAATTTGGTATTTAATATGTGAAAACTTTACTTTTAAAAGTCTTTAAAATGAAAATCTAAACTCGAATATATTCTTAAACATTTTTAAATGGCTTAAAAAGATGAGAGAAAGAGAAAGAGAGAGGGAGTAGAGAGAAAAAAAGGTTGAGAGTAGAGAGAGAAAGTGCAAAAACGTTTGAGGGGTTTTGGGGAGGTTTAGGGTATTAATTTAGTTAGAAAAGTTTATTTTGTCTTTATTTTTTCAAATCCACAATGTAAATATCGACACCTTGGGTATAAGTATTGATACTTTTCCTTTCTGAGTAAGCGCATCAATACTTATGAAGCAAGTAAAGATACTTGTTCACTAGATGCCTTTCTAGGTTTCAAGCATCGATACCTCATTCAAAGGTATCGATACTTATGGTACATAATTGATTACTAAGTCTAAAACAAGGCCAATTGACCCTCTCTAAGTCTTATATTTCAAATAGGCTTAATGATTTCATAAAACACATGTTTTCCTAGTTGTAAACATTCAAAAATTTCAAACAAAAACATTAAATCAAATCTCACCAAGCTAAGTTACATTTCTAACCTTAATTCAAAGTTGGGGTTCCACATTTTTCCATGATGCACTGGGTTCTTAGTAATAGCTTTTGCAGATTTATTGTCGATATTCAATATAGTACCCGTGGCTGCAAGATATTCAACTTCAGGAGAGGATTAAGCTACCAACTCTTGCTTCTTGGAACTTAATGTGAAGACTAAATTCCCAACAAGAAACAGAAACCACTTATGTTGTGAGAATCATCTACACAGTTAGCCCAATCACTAGGTCATAGCCAAGAAAAGAACAATAGCAATATAAGTGTACCTCAGACGATTGAGAGTGGAACTTTCAACAAAATTCCTCTTAAGTTGTTCCTTCACATTCCCAAATTTCTTTCATCTAAGATCCTTTATTACATTCTCTCTTTGAATTTTTTTTCTCAAAGTCTCAATTTTGATGTTATCTTTATTATATATATGACTTTACAGGATCTTGTATCGTTCTTGCTGCTGTGCAATTTCCTAAAATATGTGGCATCATTACATTAATGAGAGAAAAATAAAGACAAAAAAAGAGGTTGGTTTAATATGTAAGATCTAATTCCATACAATACAGACTTGAACTAGAATACTAGAACCTCATCTAAGTTAGATGAACATAAGAAAATAGGAGTGGTATTCCTACACGGCTAGTTGCTAAGTGACAGAGGAATGGTCAACCTAGGCTAGAAAAAACTTGTTTTAGATCATAGCAAAACCTCTATAATTTAGTTCAACAATTTAACATCATGCAGAGAGTATCAACCAATATTCCCACTTATGGTAGGAAAAGGAAACCCCTAAATCAACAAAGAACAATAACAAGGTGATGTAAACTTAATAAATCTTATGCCCTTAATGAATGCTTGAAAATGTCAAGGAAAATGACATGGCATTCATGTTGGTTTAGGAAAAAAACATGACAAATTTTAGCTAGAAATGAGAATTTCAACAAGATATTCCATCTCTAGATTTGTCCTAATCCATAACAATGAATTTCAACTAGAAGTATGTGGCATCTGATGACTGTTTTATTGTATTTGGTTTCTGGTATTCCAAGTTTCTTCCTTTCTCTTTCAAAATTTGTTGATTGTTGATACATCTTGGTCAAGTTATTTGCTTAATTCATTATTAGTGGTGCCAACTCTTAAAATCTCATCTTTGTTTTTGATAGGGAGTGCCTCTCCCTTTCTCATGAAAACTTAATTTTAAAAAGAAATAAAAAATCGATTCATTGGAAAAGAAAAAGAGTTTGAAAGTTGAAAGTTGTTTTCGATTTTTTTAAAGTTTTTTTATCTTACGGATATTTTAGTTATTTTTTAAAATTTTTTAATTTTATTTAAAGTTTTGTGATGAAGTGGTCATTTTTAGTATCAATAAATTCAAGATGAATTATACTCGAAACCTAGGAGTAAAGGTAATTTAATTTATTGTAAAACATGTAGAAATATTGTTGACTCCCATGGCCTATTGACATTTTTTTTTGTTTTTCCTTTTTGTAATGAGAACAATTCTTTAATGCAAGGTAGAAATCATATAAACCAATACAGAATTGGTTAACAAACTTTGCACATAAAGAAGAGAGACAAGAAAACTAGAGAGCAAAAAACACACGCGGGCCTCGTTTAGTAGTACGCTAGTGAGGTTTTCCTACACTTACAAATCTTTAATTTCTACGACTTGAAACAAAGAAAAACACCCTCCCTGCTCCTAATCCATGCTCAAAAGTTTTAAGGCAACTTGATTCATATAGGAAGTTAATATCATAATGCTAAGATAATTTTTTAAATTATTTAAAAATATTTAAATAAATTTTTATTCTTTTATTATATTTAAATAAATTTTTATATTTTTATTTTAAATTAAATAAATTTTTATAAGTAATGATGAATGGATTACTTTTAATCATAATATCATTTATTATTTTATATTCACATGCTATTGACATTATGTTAATGTGAAAGATGAAAAATATCACATGATCATCTTATATTAACATGTCACATTATCATCGATTATGATATATCAATACGTCACGTTATTATCAATTATAAGATGTTAGTATACTATTTTAAAACCTCACAATATAACATAATAAAAAATATTTTGATTAAATCAATTACTAGAAAAAATAACTTATTTAACTCAAAATAAAAATATAAAGACTTATTTAGTTTCAAATAAAAGTATAAAAACTTAATTAAATGTAACAAAAGTATAAAAATTTATTTAAATTTTTATGAATAGTTTATTAATTTTTTTAAATATTATATCTAATTTAATGAAATTAAAATGGTTGAAAAAGGTAAAATTACGTATTCATAAATTTACAAAAGAGCCCTTGTTTAGGCTAAACCCCTGGACCCTTAACCCCAAAATCCAATTGACAGGCTTTTTGATTTCTTTCTCCCGTCTTGTTCCATCTCGGAAAAAATCGACCTTCCATCTTCGAATTCTCTTCTCTGCACGGCCTAATCTTCTTTAGCTCAAGGTAAATTTTTATTGCTAAAGTTTTCTTTCTTTTGTTTGTTTTTTTCTCTTAATTTTGATGATTAATCTAGCTGGTTTTAGGAAAGTATTCGGAGAGACGAGTAAAAAGACATGACTTGTTTGTTTGTATGCTGAAGTTGGTAGTGAAACAAATGTCGGTGTCGGACGAACAGATCACAAAGCTATTCAAAGCTCGTAGAACAGTTTTGCAGATGCTGAGGGATAGGGGATATTCGGTTGATGATTCGGATATTCAAACGACAAGACGTCAATTCATTGAGAAATTTGGTGACAATATCCACCTCAAAAGGGATGATCTTTTGATCCATTGCAACAAAGGGGATGCTCCAATTGATCAGGTGCGTATCTTCCTGCCCCATTGTTCTTAGCTTTTATAACATGTTTTTTTCGTGTTTATCAAGGGATATAAATGTTCATGTGATATAATGATGCCTAGTTTTCTTCTTATTCATTCTGCTATATTTGTAGAATGCACACTTCTGTTTCATTATACACGTTTGTGTAATCGATTGATGCTTCATATTATTCCACTGCTCAGAATTTGTAAAGATGTTGTTGCTTCACTAGTAGTTCACTAAGAAAATTTCACTCAATATCTTGGGCTTTTGGAAAGCTTAAGACCTTGAAAAGAGGACTGATCAATTGAATAGAATTGCTTTCTCATGTTTTTGGCTTTAGAATAATCTTTCCATAGATGATGGAGAAAGGAAATAAAGCGGCGGGGGAAAAATTTTTGAGTAAAAGGCTACATCAGTAGATTTATGTCATCATTTGGATCATTGCAAAATTCTGTGAATGCATGGCAAGTATGTTTCTAACAAAATTGGGTGTCTAAGGATGCTATTATTATCAATCATATATCAATTTTAAAGTAGGAAAGTTAATTTGCTGTCTTTTCTGGTCTGTTAATATTGGTAAGCCTACTTTGCTGCATCTACAAGTGTTTTCTAGCACAAGCTTATTTGGTCATTCATACCCTATCAATAAATTTACCTTGCTTTGTTCAATATTTAGTGCCATATATAATGTACTTATTCACATGTACTTTTCTAGTTGTTCTCAGCCCTTAGTTACCATTAAGATCCCTCATTTGGTGATTGCAAATATAAGGTAATAACTATCTCAAATAATAATCTATGCGGCTATTTCAGAATCACCAGTTTTGAATTGAAAGTCCACGTTTGGGATTTTAGAGTTTTAGAAATCTTTTAAACAATGTCCCTCTCATTGTAAAAATTGTTTAAGTAGTTGTTGTGCTGCAGTTTCTATTTTGAATGTTTTCATTTTTCTTAATATCCTACGAGCACTTTGTTCTGTTTGTGGTATGGTGTTAACTTTTACTGTGAAGCATCCAAAACAATCAAGTGAAAATCAGGTCATGTTGTGTTCTGTCTTGAATATTATAATTATGGTAATGTCTATGCCTTTTTTATTTATACGAATAATTTTATAACAATTGATGTCCTGGTCTTTCTTCTTCTTCTTCTGTTTTTTATTATTATTTTTACTTTTCTTAATAATGATGTGTTGATGGTTTATTTGTCTCTAGATTTATGTCTTCTTTCCTGCAGAACTAAAGGTTGGTGTTCCTATGGTAAGAAACTGTGCAAAGCGTATGAAAGCAGATAATGTCTTTAATGCAATTTTGGTCGTTCAAAAAGCTTTGACAGCACCTGCAAAAGCAGCGATAAATGAAATTAATTCATATTTTCATATGGATGTTTTCGAGGTGAATATGATTTTTTTTTCCTTTTTTCATTCTTGAGAATTGTTTAGCTTATTTAAAATTGGAAATTCTATGCATTGCTTTTGTTTTGTCATTTAAAACTTTGGTTCGTTTTTAAAATCTATGCTTGCTCATGGTCAGTTTACTAATATTTCCGTTCAGTGGATCACAATGGCTGAATCTCATGATTGTGGTTGTCCCAAACAAGTATTTAAAAGAAAGATATTAATCAAAAAATAGTTGTGAAAGATTACAGAAAGTTATTCTAGTCAAAGGTAGGCTAATCTGAAATTTTCATTCCCTAAAATAAATATTACATTCATTTCTATGAAAAGCAACGAACGAAGTTGAAACTTAGAGATAGTTCCATTTGTGACTTTGCTTAATGGAATATCATACTCAAGTACTGGAAGTCTACCGTGAATTAGCCAACATTTGATGATCTACTACTTTTATATGTATAATATATATATATATATATAAAAGTACGGATATTGGTAAAACTTTTTATTGACGAATATGGGCATATTTGTTCACTATATTTCTAAATTGTCATTTTAAATTCATTTATTATAAATATTAATAAGATTTATCCATTTTGTAAATAAGAATTCTTATCATATTACTAAAAATTTCTTTCCTTGATCCAAGTAGTATTGAATAATTTATAGATTAACACAAAATTTAAATTATTTATACTTTAGAAACATTTGTACTTCTATATAATTATTATTTCAAAATAAATAAAGAAATAAGTATTCACATGCAATGCATGTGACAACAAATACTAGTTCATATTAAATGCTTAGAGTTGTTTTCATTGATTTTATGCAACTTGTGTATGCATGTCATAAGATTTATAATTTACCTGTATGCATAGATGATAACATTTATTTAAATGCTAAGTTTTATTACTGTTAGCTGGAATCACAAAATATAAGAAGTAATAAATGCAGACAACTTATTGGACAGATTGCTGAATTTAAATCTAGACAAATACTATGAAGAAATTCTCAAAGTAAGGGAAAATAAAATCACCATGCATAAGAATTGTAACAATTCTCGGGGTAAATATTAAAGTTTTCCATGACACCCTTCTAGAGCCCTTCTATTCAGTGTCTACTATTTTGGTTCAAATTCTAAATTCACTGATATCATACTGCTGTCCTTAAATCATTAATTAACATGTGATGTGACATTCATAATAGAGTTCTGAAGCCATGAATGTGGACAGTAAGAACATATGCTTTCAATTGTTGGAAAAATTAAATCTGTAGATAATTTAATCAACTAGTTGCATTCAAACATATAATGTAGCTGAATTAGCTGTGTGCTTACAAAGCACATTCTAATATAACTAATTACAGTCAAGCATATCATTTAGCTGAATTAGCCTTGTGCTTTCAAAGCAGATTCGATTATAACTAGTTGCATCTAGCATATACTTTAGCTTTATTAGTCATGCGCTTTCGAAGGGCATTGTAACACTTTTCAACATTCTTGCAATTCTTTTCAGAGAAATTGAGTTTAGTCCACTATTCAGACCTAGGAACGTCTATGACATTTTTGATATTTCATACTGAAACACACATCCATTGCGTAGGTCATTTAATATTTGCATTTTGTTTATGGAATTACGTTTCTATTTATGGTAAGATGGTTTTCTTTACTTCATAACAATTTTTTATGGGGGAGAAAACTACTCTCTTAACATTTTTTGTTGTATTCTTTTTATAATTTTTGCAAGAGCTGTCAATGATGACAAATGATGGTTATGTAATGTCTATGCAGGAGGCGGAGTTGCTGACCAATATCACAGAACATATGTTTGTCCCCAAGCATACAGTACTGACAGATCAAGAAAAGAAGAAATTACTGGAAAAATACAGGGTAAAGGAAACACAGGTTAGTGATTGATCGGTGACCTCAATAGTGGATGTATTAGATCTAACCACTTGTTAAATGGCCTGTACTGGTGGCTTTGGCTTTGATAAAACTGGTTTGTTGTGTTTATTTCTGTGGTGACTTATATGCATGCCATGTGCTAACACTTGAGATATGAATAATTTCTATCGACCTGCTTTCTCCACCTGAATGTAAAGTAGGCAAAAAGAAAAAAAGAAAAAAGAACAGACCGAAAAAGTGGAAGACTATCAACCTTGAGGTTGTTGCCATTCTTGCTTTTCATACTGAGATAATCATGCATTCTAAAACCTGAATTTTGGGCTTTAAGATGTAGCAGATGAAGCTAACTATCATTCTTCAAATGACTTTAATTACTTTGTTTTATTCAGATTAAGTTGTGTAAAGATTGAGTGCAAAAGAATATGATTTAATTAACCAAAGCTTGCAAATATGAAAATTATTTAGGTTCTAGTGAGAAATTCTCAAAGTATTGCTTGTCTTGTGTGGATTAATATTGTTAAGCAATAGGAAATATATTATAATTAAATAAAGATCCAACTTGATTTGAAGGAAATAAATTAAATTCTATGAAATTAAGTTCAACTAAATTACGAGCATACGTGTACCCTCTAAAGGGTGCAATTCAAGGTGAAACTTTCTAACTTGGAAAACTTACATACAAAGAAAAATGGAAGATTTTTTTTCTCCTGTAGATGCCTCTAACTGAATTTTACATTTTGGTATCTAGAAATGTGATACTTCCACTATGTGACTTATCATTTGATCCTTTACAATCCTCATAAATCCTTATAGATAGCTTTATTTTAAAATTATTTTGGTAAACACTTAACCGGTACAAGAATAAGGTCTGCTGCTTAGTTATTTTATGGTTTAGGGGTTAGTCTTAGTTGGAAATATTTTGAGTTGTGGAGCAGCTTTCAACCATTATCTAGGTTGTATTTGCTCTAAGAAACATAAAGGTGCAATTTTTTATGAACATATAGCTGTTTTGATATTTTTAAACCAATAATATTTATGATTATAGGGAGACAACACTGAACATGATTTTTGAACTGGTTTTTTTCCTTTAGTTAAGAATATGAGAGAGAGAGAGAGAGAGAGGTCTACATTTTTATGAACATATAGGTTGATGAATAGTTTAAAAACAACTTATTCATGATTATAGGAAGATCGTGGTTAGAATGGTTTTTGAAGTGGTAGTGTTGGTGTAGGTAAAAAAAAAAAATTACACACATAAACAGAGTATCTATGATCAAATTTTAAAGTACTAATCTCTTCTTATTCTCCTAATATTATGCCAATTTTTTTCATATGAAAGAGTAAATGTGAAGTGGATGTATGATTAACAGACACTGTCTTCCCGTGCTTTCTTTGCCTAGCCCCTTATGTTTTGGCTTACCAGACTCTTCTCTACTCAATGCTTTACCCTGCATCTTCTCTATCAGATTCTGCTTTGCTCTCTTCACCATTTTTTCTCCTTGCCTCTTTTCATTTCTTATATTTTTCTTGCAAATCTTTCTTCCCCTTTCACACAGCAATATGTATGTCAACTTTCAACTTTCAGCAATTTTAATGCATTCTTACGAACCTAGTTCCAAATTCCTTGTTTTAAACAAAATGAAGTGATTGTGTTGCACAATACACCATCTTTATCATCACCCTGCAAAGTAAAATTCACAATTTTTATTAAATGTATCTTTTAAGAGAATTTTGATATATAATTTTTAATGTTTGAAACAGTTGAAAGATAGTTTCACTAGAATTTTCATTTCTCTGTCCTCATGGATGGCATATGGAAAAGAATTTCAGTTCGACAGATTCTACGGGTCAAAATCTCCAATAAATTGTATATATTGACCTTGAGTGATGTGTCTTACTGCCTTATTAATTTCTTGATGAGCTCACTGATGCAGAGTCATGTTATATTTCCAGTATAACATTATGCTGGTTTCACTTATGAAGATTAGGCGATTAGCACATCTTTGTTGTATGCATCTTGATTTGCTTTGATTTAATTGCCCTGATTTTCTTACTGCTTGCTCTTTCATTTGAACTTCAGCTACCTCGTATTCTGGTTAGTGATCCAGTTGCTAGGTATTATGGTATGAAGCGCGGACAAGTTGTCAAGATTACTCGAGAAAGTGTGACTGCTGATACATATGACACATACCGATATGCTGTATGAGTTTCTTCTCATTTCAGGGTTTTGCATATCGTTTTTTTTTTTGGTTCTAGAGAATGGTTGAAGTTAATACCCTTTTGTGTTCTTACTCAAAAAGCAAATTATTCTAGGATTTCAAAATCCTATTGGAAAAAAAAAAGGGTTTCAATCTGCAGGCAGGCTAAAAGATTTGAGCTTGTGATCTAATGTTTTTATTTGTTTAAAAGAATTTATATTTCTCTCAATGATTACACACTTGTCAGAAGCCTAGTTTGACATGCTTAACTTATGAAAATACGCTTTTACTGGATAAGAGAGATTCAATAAGCATAAATGCAAGTTCAGGGTGGACTTTTTATTTTTTTTTACTTTAATTGCAACTATATTATAAATTGAAATATTGCAACCCAAATTTAAATCTTTAACAAATAATAAACACTAACTCGCACATTGAATCTCTAACAAATAATAAACCTTAAGTCTTAACTCTCGCATTGAATTTCTAGTAAATAATAAACACTAGCTCTCATTCGATCAACTTTTTCCATTTCTTCGATATTTTCTCCATACGATCGTTTGTTTTTTAATCGACAAAGCTAACCATGATCATTTTTGGGCGTCAAATTAGTATTTAAATCATTCTCATGCATGATCCAAACACTTGTTGCAGCACTCCATGCTCATATCGTAATCTTTTCTTTGAATCCCAACCATTGTATTGTTCACAGAATGGTTGATCCATGAACCATTTCGAGAGTTCTTCTTTAACTTAGTGAGGTAGAGATTGTCACATATTGAAGATTACAGTCACCCTACAAATCCCATATTTTCCAAGATTCTTTCTTTCCATACAAGTCAAAATCTTTGATTAAATTTTGATCAAGATGCAGCATGATCTTGCCAGTGACTTTGCTGAAAAGACAGCACATTAGCACCGTGTCAGAAGGCTCAAACTTGAGTGCCACCAACATGGCGGCGGTAGCATTGTCCCCCGTCAAAGATCTATCGTTGAGGAAGGGAAAACAAAAGGTTTTCTTGGTTAATCAGAAATAAGGGTAGCAGATTCTTGAAGAGAAAAAAATACCTAGAGAATATAAGAGGTTGAACTTACGTGAAGACACTGACGCTTTCAACACCCAATTAATATTAGTAAAGTAATTTATTCATTTCGTAGGCTTCCAACTTGGGCTATAGAAAAGCACAAAATAAAAAGGACCCAGCACAGCCCCAGTGTCCCAAGTGCGTGCCCTGGTTTTCTTCCAAATTCAGCCGACCTTTTTCCTCTATAATTCCAGATTCTCATAATCCAAAACACAGGACTTGAGACTGACCAGATATGTAAGCTGATGACACCCGAAAATAGCCAGTTTTATGCCCAAAGTAGTGTCATGACCAAAAACGGCATGAACGCCAGCCCAAAACAAAATCCTACAGTCACCATGGAAGCCTTTCCCTCAGGTTCATTTATTATCTTCCTTACGTGGAGTCTCGACTTTGCATGCATAGATACTAAATTTTTTGCTCTAATATATAGTATCCGGTTTTGTATAGAGAGACTAGTTATGATTTATCCATTGGATTTGTTTTATTAATGTAGTACTTAATCTCTAATTTTTACTTATACCAATCAGCTAAATAAACAAATATTCTAAATAAAGTAAAATTTAATAAATAAAGATATGATACTTTAAAAAGTCAATTAACTATTCAAGAAAATTTAAATAAATTTTTATTCTTCTATTGGATTCAATCAAATTTTTATATTTTTATTTTGAGTCAAATAAGTTCTTATGATTAATAGTTGAATAATTACTACTAGTCAAAATGTCACTTATCTTTTTTATATCACGTGACATTGACATGAAGGATGAAAATATTATGTAGTCCTATTTACTATGACATTAATATGCACAATCAACTTACACAAAATAACAAATGATATTTTGATTAATAACAATTAATTAAGCTATACGAGTCTATGGATATGATGTAAAATAAGAATATAAAATTTTGATTGAATGTATAGAATAATAAAAATTTATTTAATATTTTTTAAAATATTTAAAGATCTTTTTAGGTATTATGTCATAAATAAATAATGATTGATGTTATAAAGGCAACCATAGTAGGTAAAACTTATATTCAGGAATTTTTTAATTAAAAATAATTAAATAAGTTCTTATCATTCAAGATTCAATCTCGGTAAAAATGGTTTTTAAAATAAAATTTTAAAAGCATTAAGTCCATGTAAAAGAATGCATAAATTAAATATTTTAATTTGTGATATCTTTATTTCGATTTATGAAAGTAATAAAGTAAATATTAGTAGTGAGAAGGGAAAAGAGAGGGAGAATGCTTGTACCATTGGAGCACGATGGTACCAAACAAACCGTCCTATCAATATTTAGTACTTTTGGGGTATTTTGCTGTATATATTACCTTCTGATGGGAGAAGGGTGAGCACTGCCGCACCAAGTCTCATGCCAATAAAGGCTTGAGACTTTGAATGGCATTGTTGTAATTCCCTTTCTTATTAATACAAGAAAATTTACCTTTTAAGAAAACAATAATAATTTTAGACATAATCATATTTAAATTTTCAAAATTTAGAACATGTCTAAAACATGTATATCTAATTGATATCTCGTGAGAAAAAATTTCTTTTATAAAAGTATTACAAAAATCTAAATTCATGGTAAACAATATTATAATATAAGAAAACCCATCATAAAATATTTAAATAAAAGCCTGAAATGAGTTAAAATTACTTCAATTTGAGGAGTCTCAATTATTTTGTTGAATGATATGTCGGGAGTGCATATCCCACGCATAATTCATCAATAAATTTTTAGCAGTTGTCCCAAAAAAAAAAAAAACTTTGATTTGCCTTTTTTTCTTTCACAAAAGTATTCATACACATACGTGTTTACATAAATTAAGAATAAAAATCTATTTTAAAAATTGATGAAGATAAAGGTAATTTATATAATTTTAAATTGGGATATATGTGATTTAAAATTGAGAGAGGATAACCCTTTTCTTGTGACTCGAACGAAAAGGGTTGTAGTAATTAAGACATGTTCTTTTAAGTTAAGGGGTCCTAGATTTACTGAAAATGATAATTTCATTGAAGGAATTCTAAGTGATTTGCATGGTAGATATGTTGCCATAAGCTTTTTAACTAATTTATATACTCCATATGTCCCATAAATTCTGTCTTAGTTTAATTTTTTGTAGTCAATTTTTTTTTAACTTAGATTTTGATCGTTGAATAAATGATTGAATAGGATTATTTAGTCTACAAATAAAATTCAAGAATGATCCTATGTGTCATGAACATAGATTGTTAACGTAGAAATCAACATAAGCATGCCTTATCTAGTAATTTTATACCTTATAATATAATATTATACCTAATATATTTTTTTGAATCCTTTAGAAATTATCACATTAACTGTCTAGGATTATATTCAATGCAACAAAATTACTATAAATAATATTTTAACTAAAAAGACATTGTCACTAACACAAATCATTTTATTATTCATAAAATCCCACTTAATTGACGAATAGGGTAAAATACCCCTACTCCTTAAATTTTAATCGTAATTCTAAATGGATCTATTAGTTTTTGAAATAGACACTCTGTTCTAAAAAAATATCTTTCGTTGGGCAGATAGATCCAACCGTTAATCAACCGTTAGTATTTCCATTAGTTTGATGATGCAATAATATTGAAATGATAATTTTATCCTTTATTCATTTTAAAAATTACTATTATATAATTTTTATTAAATTTTTTATTAATTTAAAAAAATAGTGAGAGGAGCACTCATTTTTCTTTCAAAAAAAATTATATAATAATAATTTTTTAAAATAAATTAAAAAAATGGTATTATAGTCTTTTCATATTATCTGTTAATGGTGTTTACTTTTTTGTGGTGGAGTGTTCATTTTGAAAACTAATAGACCCACTTACAATTTCGATTAAAACTTAAAAGTTAGCTCGTTTATTTTTTAACAAATTACATTTTACTCTATTCCTCCTTAAATGTTGTGTTCTGATTTTGGCCATTGTCAGTTAAAATTCTACTACGTAAGTATCCGTATCGAATAGATAATATATTAGTAAGTAGAGTATCGATCCCACAGGGAATTGATCTAAAATTTTACTAAGTACTAAAATTAGAACAATTTAGTTTTATTCAAATAATTAAAATCTGAATTCTAATTGAACTAAAAATTACACAACTAAAATTAATTTAATTACAAAATTAAAGCAACAAGATAATTGGGCAAACAGCAAATCAAACAAGCCTAGGATTACAATATTCCTCACACTTCCTCTAAATCTTATCTCTCTTTCTTAACTTATTTAAATGGGTTGAATTGCTAACCTAGAGT